CAAAGCACAGGTGGAGGAACTCACAGCTCTCATGGCCTTGTCCACATCCCCGGGGGTAACCTCTTGAAACTCAACCCAGAGCTGTTGTACTTGGTCCCCCTGAGTCTCGGCTGGAACTGCAGATGTGGAGTCCAACATCTGCAGTTTTGACTGCTCCCAAAGCTTCAGGGAAGCCTCCTGAAGGTACCTGAAGCATCTGGAGGGCTGGGGGTGGGGGAGGCTGTTTTCACCCTCCCCAGGCTCCTATAAAGCCTCTGGAGAGTGAAAAAAGCATGCAAAAATGGGGAGTCGCGCCTGTAGTGCGTGCATGCACACAGAGGGGGTTCGTGCATTGCATTATGGGTGCAGCACACCCGCACATGACCCCCCTACGCTCCCCCTATGCTCCCCCTACTTATGGCACGCGAGCCAAAAAAGGTTTGCCATTGCTGCCCTATATCATTTCTTTATGGTGTGTATGCATATGTGTACACACACACATACACACATCTATGTATATAATGCAAACACAGAGAAACATATTACACACACAAACATAACTCACACACACAATGTGGAATATTTTCTATCTTACCAGTACTTCTTTAAATCATTTCATTTAGAATTCTTTTCATGCTAATTTCTTAAAAGAAATATAATAAATCCTCTATTTAAATGACTAGCATTAAATTTTATATTTTATATTTTTCATATAGGTAGTCTTCAACTTACAGTACCTTTTGAGTGACTGTTCAATGTTACAATGGCACTGAAAAAAGTGATTATTTTCACACTTACGACCATTGCAGCACTCCCCATGGTCACATGATCTAAAATTCAGGTGCTTGGCAACCGACTCACATTAATGACAGTTGTCGTGTCCCCGGGATCATGTGATCACCAATTGTGACAATAACAATCATGTTTGCAAAAATTATGTGAACTGAACAGTGGACAGCATCCATCCATGTGACAAATTTGGACAAACTTGGATCCAATAGGTTTTATGTCTTAAAATCTGCTAAGCCAAGGGTTGCAGGTTTACTGTAATCTATAATTTATAAAAATGCTAAATGTAAGAAAGAAATATTCATGCAAACATATTTTTTTCCAAATAAGAGCTTTGCATAATTCCCATGTTTTATTTCATTGTTTCTGGTGTGTAGGAATAATATGCTGCATGATCACAATAAATATGCAGCAGCCGGTTGGTATGAGCAAGCACAGAAAAAATTGTAGTTTATAGTTATTTTTAAAAAGCATAATGTATATAAGTTAATCCACTCAATTCAAATGAGCTGGGAACTGTTGCAGGAGATTTATTTATTTTTTAAAAGAATTACTAGATTGGACCCAAACTTAGTGTTACTTTCATTAAATCCATTAAAGTTAATAGGACAAATTGATTTCAATGAGCCTGTTCTAAATATGATTACATCTGGGTCTGATCCAATGAAGTAAACAAATGCATTCTCCTGTGCACTGCTTGGAGTGTCCAAGCAAGGGTTAAATTCTGTCCCACTGCCCAAGGACTGGATTGAAAATTTTGGCCACACTCTCTGGCTCCTTCCATCCTCAGTTTTTCAATGAAGGCATGGTCCATCTGAGACGGATGTCCGCCTGGCAAAGGATCCTCACAGGGAAAAGCAGGACATCCTGGAAATAATACCCCAGGGTGGGGTTGGACACTCCTGCAGTGCACCGAGAACGACCTTCAGGTAAGCCAATGGTCATTCTCCAGTACACTGCTTGGAGCCCTCTGGCTCCTTCCATCCTCAGTTTTTCAATTCAGTCCAAAGCCCATCGGATGCATTTACAGTCTTAGCTGAAAGAATTTCAAATACTATTTCCCTTAGCATAGCTCTTTATTGTTTTACCTTCCTTCTTAGTTAGTTAGCCTTCCTTGCTTCGCTGTCTCGTTTGCCTTGCCCTGAGAAGCTTGATTCACTCATGACAGAGAGGCGCACTTCTTAGTCTCCTGGGCGGCCCATCACCTCAGCAGTGCCGCCGCCCAGCTGATCTTTACCGGCAGGACTGTCCGAAGCTTCGGCAGCCCATCTGGCATTCGGTAGGCACATCTAGTGACTCCAGCGGCCACGCAGCTAAGAGATCGAACAGGAGTGGCCATCCATCTGCCGGAGCCACACCGCGTGTGTCTTGCTGGGCGTGACCATCTTGGGAAATGGCGGTGGCCATTTTGGAGGTTGTTTTTCCCCGCCGAAAAGCCGAATTGCCACTCATTGCTGCCGGAGCTCCAGGACCCAGTGGATCCACTTCTTCTTCCTGCAGCAAGCTTCAGGCAAGTACTTGGGCATTCGGAGGCCTTGGCAGCTGCCATCCTCCATGGGCCTTTCCCCCTGCCAGTAGCAAGTTCCATCTGCAGTCCCAACAGAGTTGTGTCCCTCTTCCTGACCACAGCGCCTCACCTGAGCGAGTGCATAGGTAGAATTCACCATCTGCCCCCAGGCCTGCAATTTCCTCAGACTGGGCTGTCAGTATCTCAGGCAGCATGGATATGGATTCCATTGCCGAACCTCCTGAGCAAGGGCCCTCCACCGGGATGGATAGCCCTATGG